CACTCATCTACCTCCAACCTCATTTTGGGCTATACATGTACCTATATTCAATTTTGTTAACTTTTTTCTTGCAAAAATAGTCACATCCTCCACACGATAGAATATGCTTTATAAGGTAGCAATGAAGACTTCAAAACTTACATTATACACTTGATAACAAAGAAACCGATCATTGTCAGTTGGAGGAATTGTTAAATTGTGAAGCATTCAGATTGTTCAGGGTTAATTTTGTTCTAGCCCTCCCAGCATTGGCTATTCTTGACTTTCACTTTGCTTTTGGTCACAGATTACAGACAGTGGACTAGCTGATGTTGCTGAAAATCTCCACACTCTAGAACAGCTGACATTCAGTGGATGTACATCAGTAACTGACATGGGTGTTTCCTTGGTTGCAATTCACCTGCAGAGGCTGGTAGCTCTAGATGCATCTAAATGTGACAACATCACTGATAAGAGCGTCATGGACTTAGCAATACATGGCCGTAATTTAACCCACCTAGATCTGAGCATGTGCAGTCAGATTACAACAAAGGCTGTTGATCAGTTGGAAGAGCATATTCCAGGTCTTGTCTCACTACAGTTGAGATATTCTGGGGCAAGACTTTGCACTAAGGTGTACGCCCTATAGAGATTCCAGAGTATGTATTTTGCCATGATGATAGGTGTACATAGTAGAGTAAGGGTGACAAACTGTACAACAGTGCTTGCCAGTTCTCCAGTAGGTTGAACAATATATTGCTTGCAACTGCTAGTGATTTGTAAATACAGAATGGATTTTATGGTTTGGATCAATAGAAACTATTTTCAAGCTTTATAACCCCCCCTTTTCAAATTGAGGCTAATTGCCAGTCTTTGTAATAAAAATGAGCTGTATTTGCCTGCCAATAAAAAAATGACTTCCATCAAAAAAAATCTGCACTTGATCACCCTTTTTACCAGGAGATTATGAATCTTTAAAATGGCCCATTATTTTAAAGTTGCATGTTAAATCTGTAGCTTTCTGGTGGTACTCATACATAGAATGCAATAAGAAACAGAGTCAATTTTCCAGACCTTTATTTAGCTTTTCTTGAATTAGTATCAGTCATTTAATCTTTTTAGCCCTGAATCTCTTAAAAGGTGTTTGCTGTGTTATGAATATTGTTCAGATATTTGGTTAACACATATACTGTCACACGTATTTAATCATCTTTAATAATAAAAAAAAATTCCCAGTCATTAGCAATCTCTTTTAGCACTATTCATCTGTGTGGTATATAGTAATATATAAACAATATAATCTGTTTGACGTGAAAATATGCAGATATTTTTCTGTAGATGTTCTCTGTTCCAAGATGAGCAAAGTTTTCTGAGAGCAAAGCTCTTCAAGGAACAGATAATGTCCAAGAACAAATATATAAGCATATTTTCATGCAAAATAGAGGTGTTTATCATCCTTTAAATATTTTGCAATACACCTGTTAAATGTTTACAAACAGCTTATTGTTTGCTACGTGGGATGTTTTCTTTTGAGTGTTGTTTGGTATGACTTTATGGAAAAATAAATATTCCCTTCTTCTGTAACAACCATAACACACTCTCTCTTCTTGAATTGAATTTTAAATGAAGACTTATCATAGTGGAGGTAAGGTTCGAAAATTGAGGAATATCATTTGCCCAGTTTCAGCTGGGGGATATTCAGTCAAGTGCTGCATTTAGACCAATCATGCAAGCATAACTGTTTGATGGATCATAAAGTTGAACATCAGTGCTTGTTTAAAGAATATTTAGCTTTGGTAACTATACATAGTCTCACAACAGAACTTCTCTGATAATTTTTTTTTAAACTAATGACACTAGGTACATATGGTATGTTATATTATAGAACTGTGTTTTACCACCTATTAGTAGTGTAAAAATGACATTCTGTTTGATTCCCTTACATTACCTCCCACCCCCTCCCCCCTCACCCCTTTCCCCCACCCCTTCCTTCCTCACCCCTTCCCCCCCCTAATTAGGAGACTTCATGAATATTCTACAATTATGTCTTACAGAAATAATGCACATGCAATTGTAGGGTGATTTAGAATGATTATCTGCTGGTAAATTTAAAGCTTCCACAGTATGTATTAACTTGTGTAATACACATACTTCATGTTATTTCTTTCCTTTGAGGTATTTCTTTAAGACACTGAGACATTTTCCTCAGATGTCAAATATTTTTTCAGCCAGTGAGGAGGTTTAAAAGCTAAGTCTAGCATCCATTAGTAGATATATGTACATGTACTACCACTTACAATGTACCACAATCACCAACTAAGTTTTTTTTTCAAAATCATCAAAACAGTCATACAATGTAATGAGGATTAAAATGTTTCTTAGATGTACAAGCAAGCTTGAAAGATATATTGTTATCAAGGGACATGAGAATACCTTAATGTTGTACATATGCAAAGCAATTTGTACAGTTTTTTGTTGAGTATTTAGTTTCTGTAATACACCAAGAGGAAACAAAAGTATAGAGCGCTTCATTGAATTTTTTTATACATTCTAGAACTTCTAACTATCTGATAATAACCTTGCTGAGTGCATAGTAACCAATAAAGAATACTCCAACTAGTCCCGCTATAAGGTAACACATGATTTTTCTGTTTGATTGTCCTGCAGAAACCATTTGTGATAGTCGTGCAGCACTGCCACTCAACAAACTTGATGAGCTCCCAAAGTCATCTCCCTGTTGATTTTAAAATTGATTATCTTGATTTACTTTACATCAATACAATAAAGCGAGTTGTAGCTCATGAAAATCAACATCACTTCCCAGGTAATGCTACAAACATGAGAGGTGTAAAAAGTGTAGTAGGTTGGGTTTGTGATGTATTGGCACCAATTGTAAAAATATGCTCTGAGAAGGTAGTGTTCCATCAAATTTTTGTGTAAACATTTTTCCATCTTCTCTACCTTTCAGCTTGAACATGTTTTGACAATGGTTTGAGTTCTTTGAGTAAAAGTAAATATTAACTTTAAACAGTGTGGGGTAAAGTGTGGAGGTCAGGTGATCAGAAAATAACAGTTTTTAAATAATATCAAGTACAGACAGTTGAGTAACAACTACTGTATATGATCAGATGAAAAATCTGTCAATTAATTTAGACCAATCCAAAAGATGGGTAGGGGTTGTATAATTCTGGAATTTAAACAATTGTATTTTCACATAAAAAAAACACACACACACACATAGCAGCATAATTACCATTCCATCAAGATATTTGTTTTGCTGCTTGCTTTCATTCTCGATATCAATTGCGATCTTAAAAAATTGAAATGGATCAAATAAATTTCCATAAAACAAACTACATATTAAATTAGCTAAGTTTGTATAACAGAGGGTTGTTCCTTATCTTAGACACCTCTTTTACATGGGGTGTGGGTTAGGAGCAGGAGTAATTTTCACACAGTTAGGAATGAAAAGGATTTTAACAGGTAGACTTGATTTAAAATCAGAAATGTGATGATGGGTATTACTGACAGGGAGGGGGAAGGTTCCAAAAAATGGAAACTATCACATTGATCAATGCAAATGAGGACCACAGCCAAAGTGCTTATTAAAATTCAAGCATTATATATAAGAAATATACAGAGGAAGGTATGGAGAATATGCACATTAATCTTAGGGTCTAAAGGTTTGTTACAACGACACAGTGTTACAGCAATGTCTTCCTACCCCTTTTAAACGGGAAACTTTTGCCGCCAAATCTTCCACCATTCGATTGTTCTCTGTTTCCAACATTTCATCTGTAGAGGTTGTCCTCGAACCTGCGCAACATACCAGGTGACGAAAAACATTAATTTAAAATTTTCAATCGAATGATCTTGAAAAGTACACAATACGCTCGCTTTCGATGAAGAATTATTTACATTATACACGTCAAAAGTTCATGGACCATCTAAAATACTTAACGCCATCATCTCTCTGATCAAATTGGAAATTAATTCCTTTGAAAACAAACACTGACAGAGTTTTACTCGCTACATTTGTCTTTTGAAGCGTTTGATTTAATATATTCCAAAAAAATCCCTACCTCGATTATTTCCCCACGACGCCATCTTGTATTCAGAAAGATTATTTATGTAAGACGAATGGTTTGTCCTCTAAATTTCAATCTCATACCCAGACTACGAAGTTTGAAGAGCATCTGACGTAAGTATAAGTGTCCATTTCATTTGTCCAATAATTCGATCGTATAGAGAGCTTAATTGCAAATTTTTATTTGCGATTATTCCATCTTCCCTTCAAGCTTAACGACAGGAGAAACTTCAACAGTATATTAGCGGAACCGGCGAAGCAAAGTAGTTCTAAATCTGTTGCCAGCCTGCTATGGTCCCACACTCTTTTTTTACTCTTTGCCCAAAAGCCATGACAGAACGCAGCACTAAATCATTATTAAGAGACCTAGTTGTGATTTTAGTACCAAGCCCGTCTATTGGCAACCTTGGAGATTTGTCTATAAAAGCTTTTCCTTTTGTTCATCATTGTAATGCCACGGCATAGGGAAGTCGTTGCTAATGTGTGATACTCCCAGAACCATTGCACCTTCCTCGAATGTGGTTTGCGCATTAGCTGCTTTGTTTTCCACTAATTATTCGGTAGAGTTGTAATCGGACAGTTGACTGTAATCGGTCACCTGTACTCGAACAGTTAAATCAGCCAATCATACTAAGTCGGTTAAAGGGACAAGTTTCTAAAGAAACTGTAGTGCTTCGTCGGTGGGGGAGTGAAACAAGATAATATTGGTTTCATCAAGTGAGTTGATAATGTTAATAAGCCAACGTATAGAGTTTCAACTGACGTTTCGAGCGTTGGCCCTTCGTCAGAGCGAATGACATCCTCTTGGCAATGAAATCTCGACAGCGATTTTGCCATGTTTTTACTTTGAACTCAAAACTACATTCAAGTGTTATGCCGAAGGGAAGATATTGTACCGTCTGAAAAGGTTAACACACCAAGCGAAAATCTTAAAACAAAATAAATTACCTCTTTTCGGCAACCTTTTATCACAAGTCACCGTAGTGACATCTTAAACTCCTTCATTACAAGTGCGATAACAACCTCGAGAAACTTTAATCCGGCATCCTGGGGTTGTAAGATTGTTTGTAAACGCGGGCTATTTTTCAACCACAGCTAGGCGGGTCACCTCACCTACCTGGGGTCCCCCACAGGCCCTTAATTTTTGTTAGAGCTTTCCAAATTACCCTCTACTTCATTTCGTGAGACAAGATGCATTTTTAACACTTTTTCACTCGGTCAGTCACATCGATTCGAAATACCGTGTTCATTCCTTGTAAATAACCTGCATTTTATTACGCGTTTCAAACTTAGGGGGCAAAGTCCTCTCTTGTTCAGTATATCTTCATTTATTCGAGATCCCAGTATATCTTTAGTTAGGGTCTATTAGAGATACAACAGAGTTGCAGTTTGCCTTTCGTAGTAAAATTACGTGGAATTATATTTTTAAGGCGACTGACTTTTGATTTCTCTTTGTTAGGGGAACGGTTGTAAGCTTAGGCTCTTTCGCAACCGTTATGGTCTCGTCGCGCAATGCGCTCACTCTCCAACGAGGAATCGAGGGCGTTGTGTGACGAGACCAAACAACGGCTGCAAAGGAGACTACAAAAGTATTTAGACAGTAGAGACAATAGACCACAAAATACCTGTGTGAGTTTAGATAAATTAGGTTCTTTTTCTTTCTCTTAAAGTGATGTAATGCGATATTTTCGCTCTTTTGAAAGTTATGAATACAAAGTGTCCCATCTCGACGTACCCAGCCGAAAAATAGCTCCCCCATGCTACGCATACCTATTTTCACACAAAGGTAGGTTGTACATCGTCAACCTTGCTCAGGCAGCGTACATTGGTTACGAACGGAAGTAAATTTCTGAGCTCCGATACTTGAGCTAGGATGGTGATCACTATTCAATACCACGTAAAGGCTGAAGACCTTAACTTTTTATTAATCAGCATTGAATAAACGTGTAACACTGCTGCGAGAAGAAATATGCTATAGCACTAACAGACTGACAAAAATTCACATTTTTTTTGTAGAATCTCAGTATCAACTACAAAACAGAGCATATATTCGTGTTCTGGGCGTGAGATTCTCAACACGTTGAATTTTGGTTTCACATCGAACCTTTTAGAAAAAAGCGCCTCAAATTTCTAATTCAGTGCTGCGTCAAAA